CGCCCTAGTAATAGCGGCTTTTCCTTATCTTCTTCCATATCCAACACCACAAAATCAGCAGGGAAGATGAACTTATTTACCTTCACAAGCACGTCTTCAATCACCCCCCTGGGGTAACGAATAGAGCTATCTGCCAATTGAAGACACATTTGAGTGGGTTTAAGTCCAGTCAATCCCAGTGCTTTCATGATAGAGGACGACATTAAATTAATGCTAGCTCCTAGGTTAGCTAAAGCATCTCCAAAGGTTCTATCGTTGATGGAACAAGGGATGATGAAACATCCAGGATCCTTTCGTTTTCTAGGCATTTCCTCAAGTAGCATAGCAGAGCATTCAGCATTTAAGTTGACAACTGGGAATTCCTCCCAGTCCCTCTTCTTAATTATGAGGTCCTTTAAGAACTTACCATATTTGGGCATTTCAGTTAACACATCTACCAAAGGCATTTTGACCTCAACTTGGCCAATGACATCGAGAAACTTCTGAAAGGCTTTTTCATCTTTGTTCTTTTTCACCCTAGTAGGAAAAGGGATAGTGTTTAGCTGAGCTTGCTTGGTTGGTAGGGTCTGGCTAGAAGAGGTTTCTTCCTTTCCCGCCCCTTGGGGCGTGGATTCAGTTTTCTTTTGCGGGGTTGTTCCTTTAGAGGTACCCACGGGTACTTCATCTATATTGACTTTGACTTCTGGGCCTTGGAGCTCTTTACCACTTCTCAAAGTTATTGCCCGAAGTTGCTCCCGTGGGTTTGGTTCAGTGGTAGCTGGGAGATTCCCCTGTTCTCTAACTCCAAGTTGTTTAAACACTTGTTGGAGTTGACTATCCTGTGTCTTGTCACGTTCCTTCATATCATCTGCTAGATTGTTCATCTTCTGCATGTACTCCATCATCATCTTCTCCATCCTTGCCAAGGAGTCTTCTTGCGGAGGTTGGCGGTTATGAGGTGGGACGTAGGGTGCATTGGTATTTTGGTAATTGGTTTTATTGTTATTCCAGTTACCTTGTTTATAGTCATCCCTGGGACG